TAAGTTTATTATGTTCGAGAGATAGCCCTTTATGTTGGTGGGTCTTGCCAATTATGTAGTCGGTAAATTATGAAGCTTCTTTCTATGGTATTTATAGACTAAATGAAGGTGAAAAAAGGAGATAAGCAGAATATCTCTCAAACACTTCGAGTGTCTTAAACTCTTGATGTCACTGCATTCTCTTTTATGACCTGCTGGATTCAACATAGGTCCCAACAGCAGAAAATATAAGAAGTATTCTGCTCACTTTCTTCTCCTAGGTTTCTCTATAAGTAGATCCATAATTACATTGAAGGTAGTAACTAATGCAGAATGAGTTATGCCTAAATGGGAAAGAAATAATAATTTTTTTTAATGTAAAATTACTATACTATTTAGAAATATAATATTATAGTTTTAGTAATTTAGAATTTTTATTTTTATTAATATTTTTTTATTTGTATTAGGATCAGTATTCCTAATATTATTAATATTAGTTTCTTGTCTTATTAGAATATCAATTCTAATTCTATTAGTTTACTATTTCTTAGTTTAGTTCTAGTTATGAAAAATTATTTAGAAATTATTATAAATAGTTTTATAATTTTATTTATTGATCATTCAAGTATTCAATAATTTTTTTTTTAAATTTCTCATAATTGATTATGTGACTTAATCAACTCTTTGGTGTGATGCCAAAGAACTCTAGGTGTAATATTTAGGTTTTTCTCAATTTCTTAGTAGGCAAATTAATCCTAATTTGTCCTACATTAATTTCATATCAGAGTTTAAAGTAATCTACACCTACATTCTCAAAATCCTACACCCAAACAGTCCCAAATCCATATGGAAAAGAAAAATAAAAAAACTCTAAAACAGCCCCCAGCACCGTCGACTAGCCACCTGTTGGAGGTGGGTGACATTGCCAGTACTACCTGCTCCAGATGCCTGATCGGTCTATCCCCAAAGCACTGCTGCAAAACTCCACCAAAAATTGCCACACTGGTCAGCGCAAGCCCCCATACTTGCTGCCTCTCTCAAATCTGGACTTCCGGGCCATCGTGTCCTACACCGGCCTTCTATCTGATACCGGCACCTTCAATCAAGCTGACTGCCGAATGGAGGTCGGGGCATGGACCCCACACACACGAACCTGTAAATGGGCCTTTTTGTTTTGTTGCTTTGTCTTGATTTTTTGAACTGGGTTTGACCAGATTGGTTAACCTAGACCGGTTATTCTCTCTTGTACTGGTTTTCAGCAGTTCAAAATGATATATTCTTGTCTACTATTCTTGTTTAAAGTCTCTTTTGCAAAAATGTGAAAGAAGTTTAAAGCATGTGGAATTGTGAGGAAGAGAATGAATCACCACTCAATGATGATAGGATTGACAAATCTTTTTTAACTGTAATTGAACACAATTGTGTAGTTAACATAGAAAAAGGTCGAAAGTATTCTCCAATTTTTCAAATTGTGAGTCATTGTGAAAATAAATATAAGAAGCTTGTCATTCACAAAAAAAATGTTGCAAAAGTTTTGTTTCAATATTTATAATTAAATGACTCAATCTTTGGACGCAACCGCATCTCTAACCGTATAGACTAGCATAGGCAAATAAATCTAGCATTTTCGTAACTCAGCAAGTCTTGTTTCTATTTGTCACGGTACTTGTAGTGATCCAATCATGTGTAATGTAGTTCTTATGATGTTCACACATGTTATTCTCGGTCAATCTTGGCTATTGATAGTAGGGTTCAGTATATAATGAGATAACTAGCACTTATCATTTTACGCATGATATAAAAGATGTAGTTTTAAAGTCTGACTATAGAAGAGATGAAAAAATGTAAACGTTCAAAAGCATCTCCAGTCAGTAGAAAACAAAAAGATAAGGAGTCTGTCAACGTTGAGAAACAAGAAGAACTGTTATGTCTTCCTAAAAGTGAAGATATTGAGGTTATTCAAGATCTTTCACTGCCCATGAAGAGTTCTATAGAAGTTCAATACAATGAGGAATGTAAGTAGTGATGTTCACTCAAGGATGAAGTTGAAGCATAAATTGGTCAATATGTTGATTTCATCCTACCATTAGGATTCCACACTCATAAACAGTTACGTGTTTTGATCATGTTTGCTGCTAAAAAGAATAATTAAGGAAAAAGTTTCTAAATTTTTACAGGAAAGCTTGAGTATCAAAGTTCCTTCAAAACTCGTGGACAAGTTTTCTTCAACCAGGGAAGAATAATGCAAAATGAGTTATCTCAAAAATGCAGAATGAAATATGCTTAAAGAGGGTAAAAAATAATAATTCTTTTAGATGTAAAACTACTGTGTTATTTAGAAATATAATGTTATAATTTTAGTAACTTAAGATTTTTTTTCTTTAATTAGTATTTTCCTATTGTATTAGGAGTAGTATCCTTAATATTATTAGTATTAGTTTTTTATTCTTAGTATGATTAGCATTTCTAATTCTATTAGTTTACTATTTTGTAGTTTAATTCTAGTTAGAAAAAATTATTTAGAAATTATTATAAATAATTTTATAATTTTACTTATTGATTATTCAAGTATTCAATATTTTTTTGAGAATTTCTCATAGTTGGTTGTGTAACTCAATTAATTTTTAGGTGTGATGTTTAAGAACGCGAGGTACAATGTTTAAGTTTTTCTCAATTTTTTAGTAAGCAAATTAACCATAATTTGTCCTGCATTATTAACCATAACAAAAATGAGTGTTCCTATTACTAGTGGTGGTTGCCTACTTTTCTGATCTTTGTAACTCAGGTAGCTTAATGGATCTTTTATCTTGTACTTAATGTACATCGATTCTTTTGTACATGGATGGTAATTCCATGTTGCATTAGGAGTAATTATCACACTCAGGGCTCAAGCACCACTGACCTAATAACTTTTAGGACTCAAACCACCAACTCTCAAAATCTCAAGTTAAGTTATTATAGTGTTTGGCTTTAACTTTTATATATAAAATCTCAATAATGATATATTTTTTCAATATGGGATAGAGATATTATGATTTTTACCTCTCAAGTTCTTAATATGTTCTCGTCAAGGTCATACATTATAAAATCAAAAATTTTAATCCAAATGCCCCACAAAGTCCAAAATCGCTTTAACATGTGTTTTAATATCATTTGTGAGACTGCAGACTCAAATATCACTTGCTCAATTACTTTTCCCATCCAAATTACTGGCTCTCAAATGTTTAAATTCAAGTCATTAGTAGTACGTGACTTTAGCCCTTTATATGAAATTTAACAATAGCATATCTTTCCAATATGAGATTGGGATATCACAGTAATATTATTTTGTTGTTCTTAAATAAATAAGTTCTAGTATACGTTTTTCTAGCGAGTGGTTTTATAAATTGTTCGGATGTTGCTTTAGTTTCAGGTTTTTATTCTTTCAGCTTCTTTGTTGAGACTTAAGAGAGATTGTTCACCTAGCTTTTATGGGAGTGTAATTAGAACCTGGGCCAACTATTCTCAGGAAATTGGTGACATGAATTCCTTTTAAAAGAGAAGAGTAACTAAGATATAGTATATCTTTTTACTTGCACTCTAATTCTATCATTAAAATGTGAAAAGCAATTTTTCTACCGGAAAAAATAATAAATTATAATTCCAATTTTAGTAAACTTATTAGCAAGGATGATAGACTATAGACTACAGTTATATTTTGGAATTGGTGATGGACTGCATGACTAGCAGTGCTTATGGTCTTTTATTTCCTTTTCATAAACCCGTTTGCATTCAAGGTATATGCATTGTCGAAATTTCTCGACTTTCTTTCGTTTTCAGGGAATACAAATGATCCATCCATTACTATGATGGCTGCTAGCATTTGCGCACTAATATTTGATTTTACATCGGAGGATGCACTTATGAATCACCTGAACTTTGAACCTAGCTCTCTTGGCAATTTGTCTCAGCTCATTGCAAAAAGTTTGGCTGCTTGGGGTCAGGTAAAATTCATAAAATCTCAGATCTGAACCTCAAAATATGTTTTTAAAAAAGGCAATGTCCAAGGAACAGAGACCCCATGGCAAGGAGTAATTTTGAGTTTCAGATTTTGATTAGTGTATATTTCAAATATAAGTTCCATGCTTGTACATGTTAAACTACTACGTTTTTTTGTGTAGATATATATCGGACGTTAAAGTTTCTGCATTTTGTACTAAAGTAGTATTGAAATAACTTCGTCCGAAAAAGTTTATGTTTTTTTAGCATTTTGACCATTCAATATAGCATCATTGTGTGACTGCCATGTTAAAAGCCTTTTAAATTTAAATCTACGCAGGGTATTTCTGATGCTGCTGAAGTAGAATCCGATCTTCTTGAGATTATTACTGCAGGTCTATCTACTCTGACAACTCTTACCGTATTGAAATTGGAATTTGATGCATATTCCATCCGGTCTTGCTTCTACAGTAAAGACACTTGTATATGATTTCTTACTTTCTTCAAAAAAGAAAAAAAAAAGAGAATCTTGTATATGATTATTATATGGGTAATATTTTGGTCGAATCTCTTGAAATTGCTTTTAACTATTCGGCCCTGGCAATACAGGATATTTTCGATGGGCGGATCGGTACCCTCAAGTGAGAAAAGCAGTTGGAAGATAGATAATGGAATGGAACTTGCATTCGGGTTTCACACAAATTGTTTAAGAGGTGGAGTGCTTGACAAATTCTTATGCTTGTTCTTCATTGTATTTATTAAAATCTGTTAGTCGTTTAAATCTAAATCACAACTTCACTTCGTGTAATTTGACTTTATTGAAATTCAGACTTTGTGATTTTTTTTTAACCATTTAGTCCCTGTAATTTTATCTTTTGTCATTCTAGGAAATTGTTAGTCTTTTTAAGTATTTTCTTATATATATATATATATATATATATATTTTATATAAATTTACAAATTTTGATTTGTTTAGCATTCAACTTCTACGAATTTGCATTTATAGTGAAGATATACTCAAGCATAAACTAAGAAGCTAATGGTTTTATGTAGAATAACAAAAAATAAAAGCATGGGACTGAGTTGTTGGAAAACAAATCACGATAATTGAATTGCAGTAAGGTCAAACAAGATGAAGTAAAGCTGTATTTTGTGCTTAATTTAATTATATGTATACAAAGGAGAGAGAAAGAGGTTTTAAGAGAGAGGAATGTATTGTATTGCTGTTATCAGCTTGATTCTTTCTTTGATTTAATCAGGGGAACACGAAGGATAACATGATCGAGCCTTTGAGATTCTCTAGTGGCTGAGGCTCTGCCTAAAAATTTGTTGAAGTTTGCCTAAGCCCCACGAATGGATGCCGGAAGCTGTATGAGAAGAGCTTTATAAATTATACTGGAAACCTTGGTTTATCCGTTCTGTTTTCTAGTTTCGCATACTGTCAGCATCCTTGAGTTTATTACATTTCTCATTGGCCTGTTATCGTACTGCACTGCCATACAGCACAAGAAGTAACTCGCCAAAAGCTGAGTTGTGCTAGAGCTCGTTGTTGATCCATACAACTCCAGTTGGATTGTATTCTGATTTTTAAATTTTAAAATCTCTACGCTGCCATTTGGTTAAGGATTTGGGACAATCCACTCCCTCATTAAACCCACAGTTTCTTTTTTTTTTTTTTTTTTTTTTCTTTAAATGTAGCTTTCATCCTCGCTGGTCTCTTCTTAGAAGTAATGTCGTTGATAATTGAGTGTACATAAGAGACAATAACGTCAAGTAATTTTCCTTGAAGATGATAAATTATTCGTCTATTCATGTCATAAATCAGAGCTGAAGTTTTCTTCTTCTGGCCTAGTGAATAGATTTAGTCAAAACAATGTACTGTGCGAATGGGACATCTACCAGGTTGGAAGGGGTCAATCCTTAGCCAAACGGCAAATGTACATAGATGATCATGCTTGAAAATAATTTAGGAATTAGTAGTTTTTGTTTACCGTTCATAATTAGTTTAATTGATAGTCATGATTTTGTTAGAATGAAAGAGACAAAATATGATATCAAATGAAATTTTATATGTAACTGGAATTAATGGGTTCTAAGTTTTACTGAAATTAATAAAATTAGGTACGCCAGAGTTTTGGTCGATCAACATTCTGTGTTTTTTCCTTTTTTTGTTTTAAAAAATAAACAATCCGAATGGCGTTTACTGAGTTTTGTTATTATTTTTAATACATGGAAGAATACTTGTAACTAGATCTCTTAATTAAAAGCCTACCGTGTTGACTGAAATAAAAAACATGTATATATTAATTGACAAGGCACATAATATTACACTTACACAAGTCTTGTATCCGCTTCTTAGCTAAAAAAAGGTATTGTAGATGCCAAAATAGACGTGAGCATTTTCACACATCAATTATTTGAGCAATATATAAGAAAAAATTATTTTATATATACGAGTTAAACTGTGAATTAAATACACAAATAAAAAATTAATGATTATAAAAAATTTTAAAAATTCTATAATTAAAAAAAGGTTCTGATTATTTTTATAGTCAACACCTTACAAATCTCTTGATGTATATAAATATTTTAAAATTAACTTACTAAATAATAAATATCTGTTAATTTTTTGACAATTCATGTTTTATTTTTCTTTGACTTTTCATGTACTCAAAAAGAATTTTCTACTCTCGTTTTTTTGAGTTCCCTGCGCCTTTTTATTCTGCTTGACTCTTTTTGAGCTTCAACCCTCTATTTTTATAATGATTTCTTTTGTACTTGGTCTTTAATTTCTAATCCAAACAAAAAATACACCAAATACAAACAAAATTAACTGTATATATACACTTATATATATATATATTTATATGTGTCTGTATTTGTATATACGTACATAATATTCACAATTCCCTAATCTTCACATCTTCCATCCAAACAAATTGCTCTCCCTTTCCCATCTCCATATAATCATATATTATCAGCAAACATGTACAGAGTAGCCAAAGCGTCAGAGTACTTAGTCATCACCGGTGGGGGCGTCCAAGACATAAAGCTAGCCAAGAAGGCATGGGTTTTCCCAGGTCAATCCTGCACCGTCTTCGACCTCTCCCCCGTCAACTACACCTTCGAAGTCCAAGCCATGAGCGCCGAGAAACTCCCCTTCCTTCTCCCGGCAGTTTTCACCATCGGCCCACGTGTCGACGACCCCGCCAGCCTCCTCAAATACGCCAAACTCATCTCACCTCACGACAAGCTCTCCAACCACGTCAAAGAGCTCGTTCAAGGCATCATCGAAGGCGAAACCAGAGTCCTCGCTGCCTCCATGACCATGGAAGAAATCTTCAAAGGCACCAAGGAATTCAAACAAGAAGTGTTTGCAAAAGTCCAGCTGGAGCTCAACCAGTTCGGTCTCCTCATCTACAACGCCAACGTGAAACAACTGGTCGACGTTCCGGGTCATGAGTATTTCTCTTACTTGGGTCAGAAGACCCAGATGGAGGCTGCTAACCAGGCGAAAATAGACGTGGCAGAGGCGAGGATGAAGGGTGAGATCGGAGCTAAGACCAGAGAGGGACAGACACTGCAAAACGCGGCGAGGATTGATGCGGATACGAAGATTATAGCGACGCAGAGGCAAGGGGAGGGGAAGAAAGAGGAGATAAAGGTGAAGACGGAGGTTAAGATTTATGAGAACCAGAGGGATGCAGAGGTGGCGGAGGCGAATGCGGAGCTGGCGAAGAAGAAGGCAGGGTGGGCCAAGGTGTCCCAGATGGCGGAGGTGGAGGCGTCTAAAGCTGTGGCCTTGAGAGAGGCTGAGTTGCAGAAAGAGGTGGAAGTGATGAACGCCATGACACGGACGGAGAAGCTTAAGGCTGAGTTCCTTAGTAAAGCTAGTGTTGAGTATGAAACCAAGTTAACAGTGAAATTTTATATTTACTTTACTACGGTTAAATTAATTTATTTTAAATTTCTAATAAATTTTTTTTTCTATTTTTGAAGGTGCAAGAAGCAAACTGGGAGCTTTACAGGAAGCAGAAAGCAGCGGAAGCAATTCTGTACGAAAAAGAAAAAGAAGCAGAAGCCCAAAGAGCAATAGCCGACGCTGGCTTCTACGCCCGTCAACAAGTCGCCGACGGAGAGTTATATGCGAAGCACAAGGAAGCCGAAGGTCTCGTGGCACTCGCTCAAGCCCAAGGCGTTTACCTACGCACCCTCCTCGACGCACTAGGCGGCAACTACGCCGCCCTTCGGGACTTCTTGATGATCAACTCCGGTGTGTTCCAGGAACTTGCCAAGATTAACGCCGACGCCGTCCGTGGATTGCAGCCCAAGATCAGTGTATGGACTTCCGGCGCTGGCGACGCAACGGGAAATGCCGCCGAAGGTGGAAGTAACGGTGCTGGGTTGAAGGAGATCGCGGGGGTTTATGGGATGTTGCCGCCGCTGTTCAAAACGGTTCACGAGCAAACCGGTATGTTGCCGCCGGCTTGGATGGGGACGTTGACTAGTACCGAGTCTTCGAATTAAACGATGCCGTTGAATTTATTAACGGTGCAGATCAATTTGCTGACGTTATCATTTTATTCATCTTTCATATATATATATGTCTGTGTGGGTATGATAAGTAATGTCATATATATATATATATATATATGTGACGTGGATATTAGTATTGGGAGTTTTATGGGCCCCTTTTTTCCTTTTCTTTCTCTTACCATCTTTTCCTATTTTTTTCTCTCGTCTTCCTTTGTTTTTTTTTTTTAACTTTTTAAACAATAACAATAATAAAAATAATAACTCATTAATTTTTAAATTAATAAAAATAATCACTAATTACCGATTTTTTATTGCTTTTAATTTTTTTAGATCTAATCAAGTATTTGAGTAAAATAATTACTGTTATTATTATTGTTAGTCAATTTCTAAAATATTAATTTTTATCAAAGATTAAAAAAATTAAATAATGAAGAATGTATTTGAATTTTTTATTTTTTATTTTTTGGGTTCAATTATGAAATATGAAATGCAGTATAAATATATTATAGTGTATATATAAAGTAAAGTGTGGTTTTATAGTTTGATTCAGCCCATCCAGTGGCAGAAATATCTGGGCTGACAACAAAATATCTCGTGTATTTTTATGGCTCAATCTTTTTGCATATAACTTCCTTTTTTCGGATACTCTTGCTATGACCCAGCAATAATAACAATACAATTAGATTTTATTATGGGCCCACTTTTCCACCTAATTTAAACATTTATTAAATAATTAGAAAAACTTATTTTTACCTAAAACAAGAAAAAACACGGCCTAAAACCCCTAAATCCCCCACCCTGTAATTGTGCAAGTGTCACTATCCAGGGCAAGGATCTCCACATCAAATCCTTGGATTAAGAGCTTCCGTACTCGGCATTAATATTTTTGCTACCCGTTATCCAAACACAACCTATTCTCTTCTGTGGGTTGTCACCCCATCCCTACATCACCCACTCATATTTCTCCACGTATATTCTACAATCCTTTTCTATTGGGCCCCACGCCACTCTTCTGCGCGCGCGTGCCCCCATTGTCTTGTGACGCTACAGTACCCCACTCCGCCACCAATCAAACTACTCCCCAGCTGTATGCACAATCAACAGCCCACAGGCTATCTTACCCCACCCGGCTTTCGCCAAGTTCAGTCATCCAACGGTCGACATTCCGCTGTCAATACACGCGTCAACGCGTCAGTGTATGGTCAACCGTCGCCTCGAAGAAATTCATTTCAGATGCTTTCATCACTCTCTCTCTCTCTCTCTCTCTCTCTCTCTCTCTCTCTCTCTCTCTCTCTCTTTCTCCCGTAAAGCCACCCCTTGCTCTCTTTTTTTTCTCAGTATCCTCAGGTTTCTCTTCCAAGACCTCTCTCTCTCTCTCTCTCTCTCTCTGATCACACTGAATCTGCAGATTTAGGGCTCATCCGTTGCTAAGAAAATCTCTCCACTTCCCTCTCTAATGGCTTTTCGTGAAGGTCATTGATGATCGCTGGGAGTTTCTGTTATTTATATTTCCAGCTTGTTTCTTGGTGAGAAATCCGGTGATTTTGATGGAGGAGGGTTAGGTATTTGAGAGGATTAACAGATGGAGAGTTCGTGGCAGATGAAATGCGGTTCAGCATTGCAGTCATCGGTACTACCGGTAGGCTCGTCGGCATCACGAGAGCCTCAGAATCAGGTGATTTTATTTACTTTTTCTTCGTTGTAAATGTTTGTTTTGGAGGCATTGCTTTTATCGTTTCATGCGTGTACAAGTGAGGAGATACTGGCTTGTTTTATTAACACGCGATTGAGATAATCAGCCTGCGGAAAATCTCACGGTTTTGTTTGAGTTTGGTTCTCGTTACGGATATTCATTCCGCATTGTATACAGAAATTTCGGGTGCCAAATGGATGAGATGATATAATCGTTTGGGTAACTGTGGAATTGGATAAGGTTGGGGCTGTATTGCCATTGGGCTAACATCTTCTGCTTTATCGTTACACTTTTTCTCCTGGTGCTTTTCAAGTGGGAACTTGTTTGTGCGTCTTTGTACCGGTGGGTTGCGTAAAGCCATAAATCTAGCAGAACAAAGTTAAGTGCCATAATGTAGTGCTATATGCGAATCAATGCTGTAGTATCATATTGAAGAGAATTCCCTTGGTCGCGTCATTGAATGCCAGGCTTTAGAATCTGCATGTACTGTGTTCCACAGATTGGGGACCGTCCATCAGTGTGTTGACGCGTTTGTATTAAGTTTGGGGAGGTTCATTTTCTTTAATCCCATTTTTGAAACTTACGGGTAATCTGTTTTTTTGCTTAATATTCTCTTAGCTTTTTGCTCAAGGAACTAGGGCTTACATTATTTTTGTACTCCGGAGTGAGGGGGAAGGTAATGCTAATCCTTACAAAAGTAGAGAAAAAAAAAATTCCACAATGAATAATATATGCCAATCTGCTCATATGAGATTGTTGTATTTTGCATGCGTGTTCTCTTTTTCTTGGTATGATTTCATTAAATTGGAACGTGCAGATGCACTATTGTTCTAATCTTTGGCCCCAGAATATGTTTTCTTTTTTATGCTAGACCATCACTCTTTTAAAATCTGAATGCAGGTGGAGATGAATCCAGATACCCATTTCTATTCATATTTTGCACAAGATTCAAGATCAACTGTGCATGGTAGGATGCAAGATCCCTTGGTTCCCGGTACTCTGAACTCAAGTACTTACGGGTCAGGTCATTCTGATTTAGGGAGTTCCTTCCTGGCTCTCTTATCTGGGCCATCATCACTGTTGCAATGTGATTATCAGGACTTATCAAATCTGAAGGAATCCCACACCTCCAGCAGGGTTTCTATCAATAGCTCCAGTGTCCCTGTTAATGCCTTTGTAACTGGGATTCAACTGATGTCTTGTGGGATACTCCCAGAAAATCTAAGCAATGGAAATCTTCGAAATGGAGCAAATGTTTGTCCTCCTGTTTTGCCCCGAGAAGTGGGGAGGTCCAGTGATACTGATGATTCTGTCTTGCAGAGCAGTCAGGCTGCTAACTTAAATTTTCAGAGTTTGGACCTCTCCCAGGGTGTCATTCAGCAATTAGTTCATGGTAACGAGAAAACGAGGAATTTTTCTCTGAAAGGCGAATTGTTTGGTACAAGTACTGCAACTTCTGAGAAGTTCCATGGGACAAATACTCAAGCACTACCAATATCTTCTGCTCCCGAGCAGTTATCGAATCTTTTGGGTGGTTGCCCTCGTGTCTTTTGCTTGAATACTAGTGAGTGCTTGGTGCATCTTGATCCGTGCTTATAAAAAATAACCGTATTTCTTATCATCTTATCCTCATTGTTATTTTGATTCATTGAAAAGGTGGATATCTACTTCTCAGCAATATTGGATTTCTTGGTATAATTTGTTCATGCCATTTCTTCCACATGTCTGTTGCCAAATTTTGTGAGGTAATTTCTGCTTATGTCAAACATTGATTCTGTGCAACAAATAGTCTTCTTGCTGTCTTTTACAAGTGTGACGCAGTAAGCATGTGATTGTGCTTATAGTACTACGTTTTCCAGCATTCAGGATTTTTAGGCATTAACCCTGGCGATGCTGTACGTATGGAGAGTGGCGAAACTATTGCTCAGTGGCGTAAGCTCTACTTTCAGAAGTTTGGGGTAAGATCCTCATATTTTCTTAGGCATAGGGTTCGTTCAAGTACATAGGGGTTTCGTCTCTTTTTCTTTAGATGCTAACTCACAATATTTTTAATATAATGTTCCAAAATTCATTTTTGACTAATATATTTTGCTTCATAAGAGTATTCAGTAAAGGTTTAATGCTTTAGCAAAAGTATATGTCAAGCAACACGTCTTTTCCCTGGATCAATCAAGATTCAAATGTTATCGTCTTTGTTTTGTGTGTCCATGCCCCGTAAAGGTGTATTGATTGGTCAGTAGTGCACGAAGGTTCTCAAGATAATGATGTTACTAAAAATGTAATTAGTTTTTGCTTTCTTTACCTTTGGAATTGAGAGCTGTATTTCTTATTGGCATGTGTTTGAAGCAACGAGAACACTGGATGGTGACGTTTTCTATGATGACTTTAGATCAGGGTTCTGGAAGATCATGGTGGATGGGACTGGCCTGAAGGATTGTCAGCATCTGCTAGTTTGCTGAAGTCTAGGGCAACTGTGCTGAGCAGATCTAATGTTTCTGACTTGACAAAGCCAGTTGGTTCGCCAGGAGGTTCATTGATATCTGCACAGCCTCAAGATAATATCGTGTCTCCAAAGATCCTTGAGCCAGGGCAGACTCTTGTCACGGATACCTTGCATAATAAACAACAAAGAAATGTTCAGGATTGTAATAACTTTCCTTCCAAGGGTGTGAGTAGCATGCCACAAAGCAGTCTATGTGCTATGGGTGATGACCAGATAATTATGTCTAGGTTGTCAACTGTGTCAAAATTTGTTGGTAGAGGAGCAGATAAGTCTACATATGCCCCTATGAACTCTATCCTAAAGACTGGAAATCCAACAGGTTTAGAACATACTTCGCAGAATCTTAGGGTCCCTACTAGACCTAACGATGTTAGAAGAGTTGACAATGTAAACAGTGTTGTGATTACAGAAACTGATGTTACTTCGTCAAACATAGAGTTGAAGCTTGGGCAACCATATCAGCAGAGTCAAACTTCGGGAAGTTTGTCTCGATCAGTTATTGGACAAAGGCATTTAAACACACTCATTTCTCCTCCAAAGTCACATTATCTGGAGCAGATGATTCATAAAGGTGGGTGATCTTTTTTCCCCTCGGCTTTTTCCTTAGAGTATCCAATATTCTTGCTTTCATCTACTTTACCCTTTGTTGAGTAAGCATTTATGATCTTCTCCTGAATGGTGCAGGTGGTAATTATGGGGAAAAGGGGGAAACCAAGCAACAGCTTTACCATGGTGATGGTATGTCCTATCACCCCACAACGAGGGAAGTAGGTCAGGTGAACCCTGGCTGCTATGTATTAGGAGCAACTAATCCTATTGATGATTCTAAACTAGAAAAATTGGGAGGCAATGCCATCAAGAGTTCAGGGGTTCCACTAGTAACTCTCAATAATATGCCACCTGAGGATTATGCACACTCTAAAGATACCAATGTTGCAGTCAATATGAGTGAACATGTTATTCCTAGAATGCTGCATTTTGAATCTCATACTGGAAAGTCTGATTCGATTAATGTCCCCTCTAATGTTAGTACTGTTCTAGAAAGGCAATTTAATCTTCCTGATCTGGATTTCTTCAGACTGATGGACAAAGGTAATGTACTGGGATGTGTTTCCGATGACTCTAATGCTGTGACAGATTCAGCATTTAAAGTTCATAAGCAGATGGAAAATCCATCTTCTTCAATTGGACATATGGGCAGAAGCATTGATCCCGGTTTTTCAGTGGTGCAGGACAAGGACTATTATTCCTGTCAGACATCTAATGTACATCCAGATGCTTTTGATACCAGAAACTTATTTAATTATCCTGCAAAAAATCCTAATCATGTAGATAGAGAGCAATCCGATCACATTGCTCTTAGATCCATGGCTTCGTCCTCGCGAATGTTGCAAGCACCAGCTGTCTCGATGAGTTTCCCTTCTGCAATTTCAACTTCTGCACCAGTTCTTGCTCCTGCTTTGTTGAGACAAGAGAGTATGGGTGTAAACTCTTATTTGCTTGATGACAACATGAGATTACTTGCATTAAGGCAGATCTTGGAGTTGTCAAAGCAACACCACGCAATATCTTCACTTGGAGCTAATCAAGAGCCTGAGAAGTGTGGTCGGCCTTCTGATGTCAAAATGCTTCATTCTCTCATAGATCTGTCTGCATCTGGAGAACAAAGGTTTGGTCCTGATCTTAGCAGTAAGCAGAGTGTTTCGGTAGTTACTGGAACATCACTTCCATCTGGTGCTACTAGTGACGCTGGTGATTCAAATAAACAAGCCCCTGATAGAGGCAAGTTATTTTATTCCCCTAATGTCCATGCAATTCTATTTTAGTTTTTTGGTTATTTTATGAAATTTCATAATCTCTTGGGATAACTATGTTATTCCAGGTCTCAATGACTGGTACAATATCTCATCTATGACCCATGGAATTTCTTTGTGTGCCATGGAGAAGTACATGTCTGCTCCATTTTCCTGGAATCCTCTTCTAAATAAGCAGGATGAATTGAGGTTAGTTAAGTAGTTTAACTGGTTAGAGTTCGAAGTTTATATATGTTACTGCAGTATATTATCTTTGGAACTGGACTTAATTTTGTGGTTACTCTGCTTATCTGCTTGTTTGTTACCGTTTCCTTGGCTTGAGATGTCATTGTTCCAAAAAGACTCTTAAGAAAGAACCAATTGGGATGATGGCATTTCTGGATTTTCCGAATATCTCTTTGGATGGCTGCATATCCAATCTTGATATTATTTGATTTTGGCTGAATTTACATTGACGGCAACTTAAGCTGAATTTACTGCGCAGTTATGCAAGTAAAACTTGTAATAAAAATTACAATACTTGCGTTTGCTTAGAATGCTGTCATAGATATGATCAATGCAGTTTTTTTCAAGCCTCCAGTTTTGGGCTTCGCCAGGTGTTACTAGTGCTGCACATTCTTTTTGACATGCATGGACTGGTAATAGTTTCTCAATACCTCCATGTTCCAATCTCTCTGCAGACAACACTGTATCTTTTGTCCTAAATATTTCTTCTGTGTTTTCTATGTTGCAAAATTGTGTTTGTTATAGAAAACTGGGGAAAAAAAAGGATCAGGAATTTTTCCCATGTTTCTATGGCCTGACTGGTCAAATTCTTATTGTTTAAAACTGTGAATCATTTTATTTACTTTTTTGTGCCAAGGTACAGTTTGCAATGCAAGCTGTAACTAGAACTGGCATTTAATCTATTTGGAAGTTAATGCATGTGTAAAGGCTTTTCTGTTCAAAATGTTGGTAAACAAATTCAAAAAAGATGTGCTAAACTTGACAGAATTAGACCACATTAAAAGTTTATGTTATTCCTGAGCTATGCTAATTCTATTAAAAGTTTTGTATTTTTCTGGCATGTATTTTGTAATTGTGTTGTTTTTATGTTGGTTCATCTGTAGTAAGCTCTTAACTTATAGCTTACCTTAAGTTTTTATTTTATTTTAGTTTTCTTTAACTTTATTATTAAGATTTGTTTTTTGATATTTGACTGTTCTAGACTTGGTAGAAAAGAAAATATCAATCAATCAGGTGATTGTGAAAAATATTGTCAGAGGTTACCTTGTATGTATTTCCATGGAAACTGTGGCTGTGCTGCCTGCACAAAATGTTTGAGAGGAAACTGTTTTCCAAGAGTTGGGAGCTCTTCTAACTGCTCAAAGCAGCAGACGGGAATTGTCAAGTGTGGACCATCTTCCTTAGTTGCTCCTGAATTTGCTCCAAATGGTATTGCTCTTAAGGAAAATAGTTCTTTATTGGACCAACAGGCGAAATTGAATGAAAAATTAACTAATGGAAATGTTTGCTGTGCATCTCAATGGAAGGATGTGCCAAGCTGGCAGAAAAGGGCCTGTGATATAGAGTGTATTGACCAGTCAGCTGATGTGTTGAATGGGGCAGCACGTGATGAGGGTAAGCTTAGAGATCCTTGTTCTGTATGCCTTACTGGAGTTGCACAGATATCTGATGCCTTGAAAGAGCAAGAGACTTCTAACATATCTTCTGGATCTTCTGCTCCTGCTATTACTGAGGCATCAGTTGAGGTTAACAACATAGATTCTTCGACTGCTGATGGTGGGGATTCTGGATACAAAAATGATGTCATAGTTGATGAAGGATCAGGTATTGATAAATGCTGGTCATCAGATGATTGTCTTGAAAGTGAAAGAAATGATGAGCTCCATACTGCTACTTGTAAAACTAACACAAGAGGAGTGTCCTCCAGAGTTTTCAATAATCAGTCATCCCGTACTCTTCTTGATGAGCTTAAGCTCATAGATTCTCTGACTTGGAAGAAAGGGCGAAACCAAATTCATTCTGAGATTCCAATTCATAAGAATAGTTGTTTAAAAACATTTAAGACGCACTTGAAAACTGGGAAAAGAAAAAAATCAGTAAAACTGAAGATGCTGGATTCATCGGCTCCTCGCATAGATCTAGCAATACATGATGATGAATATCCAAAAAGTTCTCACGCTGTTGAGCAACTAACTTGCTCATCTAAAGGTAAGCAGATGTTTTTACCTTCTGGCCAAGATCCATTTACAGCTTTTGCCGCTTCAATTCAATCTAGTCCTAAAAATAGGAAGTCTGTGCTCTCTTCAGCGAAAATGGGATGCAGAAAAAGAAACTTGCATAAGATTTATGATGAGCAGGAGATGGGAGATGACTACCAATTAGGATCAAATGGTGATACCAACTTTCAGAAGATCATTCCAGTTTCTGGCAAAAAGAAGGTAGGACCGGCTCAGAATTCCGAGTCTTTTGGGAAGTGGGAGATACAAGAAGAAAATCGTGTGGGCAGTGTGAAGCCCTCTTGCAGTCATCAGGCAAATGCTTGTCATGATAAGCCAAGGCCTGTAGTTTGTGGAAAGTATGGTGAAATATCTAGTGAAAAACCTGCTGAAAATGCTTTGAGGAAAACAAAGTATGTTTCTCTTAAGAGAATTCTTAAAACTGCCCCAAGATATACGCTTCCCAATGGTTACAAACCTGAACGGACTTCTACTATGGAGTTTAAGAAGAGACGCTTAGGCAAAAGCTATGCGTGCTTTGATGGACTATCGAGTTTGAAAAAAGAGGAAGAACAGAAAACCCAGGGTACTACATTTAGTTGTGAGATGAGTCTTCAACATTCTATTGAAGAAGATAGTGTAGGCAACAAGGAACTTGCTGATGATTTGTCCGTATCTGGAGGGAAAGAAGATCAAAGCAAGGAAAATTTTGCTGCTTTGCATGGTAATCAAAATACTAAATCAAGGCCTGCAATTAAGGAAACTCGGAAGCGCAGCCTTTATGAACTGGCAGTCAAAGGTAAACATATTTACTTTTTGTTTCTGCTGTTTCCAAGTCATCCAACATGCATATTTTTAAGCTGAGTTTATGTAGACTAGAAAATTTTGCATTATTTTGATTTTTATATAATACTGATTTTTTACTCAGAAAATCCTTAAATTGGAGTTCAATTATTCACCTTCAGCCACATGTTTATATTGTAGATTAACAGTTCATATATAATGACTTGGTTAAGTGTGCAATGCTGACAACTTGTATCCTGCAAACTGTACCAGTGTCTTGTTCACAAGCAGTACCCTCTTGGTGTTTGTTAAATAAATATTATACCTTTTCTTTAATATATATATATCTATACACATATAATTCCTATTGTATAGATGCATGTGTATACCTTTTCTTTAATATATATATATATCTATACACATATAAATTCCTATTGTATAGATGCATGTGTATCAAAACTTTGTCATATATTTATTTCAAAAAAAAAACTGTCACATATTGTGACTTGTTTAAGTCTGCAATGTGGACAGCCTGTGTCCTGTGAACTGTACAAGTATCTTGTTCACAAGCAGCAGTCTCTTGATGTTTTGTGAATAAATCTGGTTTTCTTTAATTAATTGCCATATGTATGCATGACTATTAATAATTTTCTCTAGATACTCCTCAATCTTTTTTTTTTTCCGTTTGTCTTTACATAATTTATATACTCAACTATCAGGAACAAATTCTGGTTCTGAAACCTTTTCCCATATGAAGATCTCGAAATGCATGCCAAAAATGGAAGTGGACAAATTTTCAAAGATTGCTGATAACGGTAAATTTCATGAACAGAGATATTGCAAAATCAATGGGGAAAAGTAAGTCCAAAAATTGATTTTTACTGATAGTTGATTTTCTTCTTGAGTACACTCTTCCAACAGAACCAGGAAGTTTGGTTCGTGCTGGGAAAGTTCTGGTACGCCACATTTCTGACTAAGAGTTCATTTTTGTGTAACTTTTACCTTTGAGTTTTCTACAGAACTATTCCAGAAAGCAGGTGTCTGCCTAGTACTGATTCAGATGCATCTTGCTGTGTTTGTGGAAGTTCAAATAAAGATGAATTCAACTGTTTATTGGAGTGCAGTCTTTGTCTAATTAAGGTACGTTGCATGTATATTATACTCTGTTCAAGCTTCTTTCTATGTTTTCTCCTTTAGGATTCTCTATACTGGTCACTGTTGTGGTGATATGCAGGTGCATCAGGCTTGCTATGGTGTTCTCAAAGTACCAAAAGGGCATTGGTGTTGCAGGCCATGCAGGACTAATTCTAAAGATGTTGTAAGAATTGTAGCTTATAAAAAGTACTGGGGAGGTTTTTGAATGTTTTTTTTTTTCTTGAAAAAA